AGAGATATGCAGAATTTTGGGCTTATAATGAATATGTCCAGTTCTGGTTCCAGCTGGGTAGTCACAGAGCTTTATACGTTGCTTATCTTTTCTAGGCACATAGAGGTAATTGATCTCTAGGTCATTACTCAATCTAATGTATGGATTTATGAAAATACATACTGCTTTTACTTCCTGATAGTTTGGTCACACCTGGTGTTGAAATTACAAGGTAGTTAAGAAGGGTTGCTTTCTTCAATCAATAAATACGTACTTTGTTCCTAGATACTCAGGGACTGTAATGAAAGCCGGACAGATAAGTACGTTCCTTTCTTGGAGTTATATTCTGGCTGGAAGTGAGAGAGCCAACAAAGAAATCAACAAGCAGCTACAAATTATAGGTAGGGGGCCAGAGTGGAGAAGAGTGGAGAGGGGAATGTTTTGAATGCAGTGATGAAGACACCTCAGCAATTTAGATTATTATTTGGAAGGACGTAATGTCCTCTTTTCACTGGGCAGAGGAGGCAAGAAACAACTTGGTGTGTTCTAGAAACTACTGAAAGGCTTCAGTGTCTGCTTCAACATTGAGAAGTGGGTGGGACCAGGTCAGGTATTTGTGCTGTTTGGGAAGAGCTCTAGATTTCAGTGTAATAACTCTTGGGAAGCACGGGAGGATTTTAGACAGGGGAGTGGCATGAAGGTATCTGGGATGAAACACACACACAAGCTGAGGGTGAGTGGGAGAGGGTGGTGGACTGTCAGGGTCGCTTTATCCGCAGTCTCTTTCGGATAGCCTTGTTTAACGTAACACTCCAACCTCCCTCACTTGCCCTACTGTTCACTGTCTTTGGACTCACTTATTTGCCGCCATATTGCTATTTCCCAAACGAGACACTGTTTGTTTGCTCCTGCCTGTGAGAATGTCTAGTACTTGAGAACTGGGGCTTGGATTTGTTTGAGGGTCTCTGGATGTAGCCCCTGCTGGTTTGGCACTTCTCTGTGTAACCCAGGCTGGCCTCAAACCTGGTTCTCTTGCCCCTGCTTCCTGAGTGCCGAGATTCAGGTATGTGCTGCCATAACTAGCTGAGGGTCTTTTGCCTGTTCCTCTCTCCTGCACTTGATTCTGTGCCTCATGGAAATTAGGCTCTTAATGATTTATCCAATGAGTAGATTTGTTGAATACTTTAGATTTTTATTCCATAGAACTTACTAGTGAATGTGGTAGTGACAGAAAAGGAAAAAAAAAGGAAAGATGATTCAGTTTGTTAGCTTGAAAACTGAGTAGATGTCAAGGCAGAGACTGTACAAAAGGAGGCCAGGGGACAAAACGACTGGGCCCAGGACGGAGGAGAACGGAAATTCTATTTGGCTTGTACTGAACCTGTAGTGTGTGGGTTAGTTTTCTTCTCTTGTCTCTGTGACCAAATACCTGACAAGAAGCACCTTAAGTGAGGACGGATCTATTCATGGTTGGAGAGTCACGGAGGGAAAGGCATGCCAGCAGGGGCAGATAGATGTCTACAGTCAGGAGCAGAGGGAGGTGGTGATGATGCGCTCTGTTGGCTTTCTCCTTTTGTTTGGTCCAGGACCCCAGCTTATGATGCTGCTGCTTCAAGGCTCGTTTTCCCAGTCCATCCTTGGGAACCAATGCTTTAGGAATTTATGTTTTTTTTTTGAGACAGGGTCTTCCTGTAGCCCCAGCTGGTCTGGAACTCACTAGACAGACCAGGCTGACCTCTATCTCACCTGCCTCTCTAGTGCTGGGATTAAAGGCATGTGCCACCATATCCAGCCTAACATTTTTTTTTTTTTTTTTTTTTGGCGTTGATGGTGCTGGGGATTGAACCCAGGGCCTCCCAAAGGCAAGTACTATACCACTGGACTACCTCCCAGCTCTAGGCATTTCTTAATCTAATCAAGCAGACAATCAAAATTAACCATCATGGTTGTTACATTTAAATGCCCTAAAATTTGCTAGATTAAAGCAACATTTATTATCTCATAGTTCTTGAGGACCGGGATCCTGGTATGCTTTGGTTAACTGCTTCTGGCTTAGTCTGTCATAAGATTCCATCTAACTATTGGTCAGGGTTATAGTCATCACAAGGCTTGATGAAGGTGGAAATACCATCACTCTTACTTGTGTCTATTGACAGACTCCAGTTGGCTGGTGGCTGGAGACCTTGGTTTCTTGCCACATGGACTTCTCTCTATATAGTGGTTTCACCCAGAATAAAAGATCCAGGAACGACAAAGAACCAGATGAAAGCCACAGTCCTTTTAGAACCCAACCTCCAAAGCAGCATGCCACACTTTTGCCACATGCTACCAATCACACAGACCATACCTGGTGCGGTGTGGGAGGAAAGTATACAGAAGTGTGAATTCCAGGAGGGATGACATTCTTGGGGACCGTTGCAGGGTCTGGTTTCTTTCCTTTGGATATGATTTACTCCCAAGTTTCACATGATGGAAACTTGATCCCCAATGTCAGACTATCGAGAGGTGGTGGAACTTTAAAGTGGTGGTGCCCGGTGGAGATAATTAGATCCTAGGGACACCACCCTTGGAAGGGATTAATACCTGTCTCTTGGGATTGGGTTACGTATCATGGGTCTCAATTAGCTATGAGACAGCAGATTGTTGTATAATGAGGCCACTGGACATGTTTATACTTTTCTGTATATGCCACTCACTAATCTCATATGAACTCCCAGTGTGTAGTAACATGTGCCATGTTGTGATACAGCCTGAAGGTCCTCAACAGAGGCTGACCTGATGGGCCCAACTGATCTTGGACTTTTAGCATCTAAAACTATAGACTAACTAAATCTCTTTTCTTTATAAAAATGTCAGACCCAGTGTCAGACATATTTTATAGCAAAGTGACCTAAGTCAGATGCCCAAACGAAGACACTATTATAGTTGATGTAGATATAGGAGGACCTGGGCTAGATAGTTCTTATAAAGTAAATCTTGATGTATGAAATTGTTAGAAATATATGAGGGACCAGAAGAATGTAGAGAAGAAAAGGACTGGTGGATCCAGGCCTGGGCAATCTAACATTTTGACAGCAGTAAAAAGGACCCCATGAAAGATATTGTTAGTCAGTGGGGCAGGAGGAAAATCAGGACAGTGTGTATTCTGGGGTAACTTCCATGAAAGGTAAATTTCTCTGAACAAGTTTCTCCTTCCCAATGAAGGACAGAAAATTCTTTGTATATGGCTGAAATGACAAGCATTTCTTTACAAAGAGAAAAGCAATTTAATTCAATTTTAATTGTGAGTAAAATTTTGAGCAAGGTAAGAACAAAGAACAGAAAAGCACATGAACTTTTAGAATCTTGAGAAGTTCATGCCTTCCAAGTCTGGGGATTGCCTA